AGGTGCAGATGGTGGAGGCTATGTAGGTGCAGATGGTGGAGGCTATGTAGGTGCAGATGGTGGAGGCTATGTAGGTGCAGTTGGTGGTGGCTATGTAGGTTCAGATGGTGGAGGCTATGTAGGTGCAGATGGTGGAGGCTATGTAGGTGCAGATGGTGGAGGCTATGTAGGTGCAGATGGTGGAGGCTATGTTGGTGCAGATGGTGGAGGCTATGTAGGTGCAGATGGTGGAGGCTATGTATGTAGGTGAAGATGGTGGTGGCTATGCTGGTGCAGATGATAACGGTAGTAAATGATTTATGTTGTTATGTTTATTGTGTAATACAAGCGATATTCTACGTTCAATTTTTTAGTCCAATTATATCTTTCAATAGAAGAACATCCTGTGCCTCATCTCAAGCGCGGTATATTCTTGCCAAAAGGGAAGGAAATAGCCACAAACATGAACAAATTTAATGAAACACGTGAGAAGCATAATGGCTAGAACTTGGAACAAAGTACATCAAACGTGAACAAAATCAGTCAAACTGGTGCTAAAGGTTGATCTTTTTTTCGTTGCTTCACCCATTCAAAGTATCGATGCTTTCCCTAAACGATAAGAATCTCAAAAACAACTTTGTGCAGTCAACATACACAAAGAAGGTTTAGTTCTACATCTTGGATGCTGCTTAATGTTAACAACGGTAAAAATTCCTCTTTATCTACGAGCAACACTTGGCACACGTAAAACAACATAATAACCGCAATAATACCTTACAGTTTATAAGGTTCGTTTGGCACTCTTGCCCATTACTGATAATTGCACATTTCGGAATTTTCAGCTCCCGCGTGGGCCAAATTCCATTTTTCATCAAATTTTTCATTTGAACGTATTTGTTTCAATTTGAATAAGTTACTCTCTAATTTCGTGTCCCATTTTCAGATCTGGTGCAGAAAAATTGGCATTTCAATACTGCTTAGCTGACAAACATAAACGATAATGTTAAATGTGTTACTCGAGCCAAATGGATGCGTACAGAGACTAGAGCGTACGAATAGTTAGTATTGTGAGCGTACAGTTCATGTCTTTAATGCAAACTTCTGACACATAGTAGTTTAATTTAATAAATTTCATTATCGCAAATGACATGGCACATATATGCAACTAATTTCTTTATCAATTTCCTGCAATATTGTTGAGATGGATGCATTCATGAGGCGACTTCCGAGAGGTAAGCTGCACCAGAAAAATAACATAGCGGTCACTGCGCTATGACTCTGACGAGTAATCAAAAATTTGCATATTATAATAACATTTCATGTTTCATGCAAGGAAACTACAAAGAGTTCACGACACGCTAGAAGGAAGCAGGCTACAGTCATACGCGGCTTTCGTTCGATTTTCCTGACCTAGAAGAGCTTGTCAAGCGTTATTTAATGCTGTTATACAATTTCCATACAAGCTATATTCCATTTTCAGTCATTTTATGAAAATAATTATCGTTTTTAGGCGTAATACCATGATAATTGTTGCAGTAACGCTGAAACTCCAAAAATATTATAACCTTCAATTATCTATGTCAGGAATGATTACCTATTTCTACTCGTTTTAGGAAAAGTAATTTTTAGTTTTCCCATCACCATCGCTATTCAGGTCAGGAGAGCTTATAAGAGATCACTCCGTACAGCATAATACAGGTATCAATTGCGTTATTGAAATAATCATACCTAATAATTCGAGCATGGTATGAATTTCCATATTTTATAATTCAAGTTGAAATAGCGCGGTATGAACTATCGTAATTTATCATTCAGGTCAGAGTAGTTCATTCCGAACTAAATTCCTTAAGCTGACCTAGAGTTTCAATTACTTCGGCAGTGCGGTCAAGGTTTTCTAGGGATCTGACAGCATCACAAACCTCACAGCTCAAGATCCCCTATACAGAAGATTCTCAGTTTCTCACATCCTCGAACGTCAATTGTTTAAGTAGCTACTAAATTAATCTGTATTGTCTTTGCTAGGCTCGTATGTCTTTATAATTGCTTTCAAGAACGAGGGTTTCTGTGATGGCAATTTATCGAAAGAATTACAGAGGTCGGTGCCATCATCAACTTTGTGTCTGAGCCCTGCACTGCTTTCAGAAATTTCGTTTAAGATGGCCACCTTTGCAATTTTGTAAATGAGGTTTTAGTTTTGACTCTTACTACGTTAATTAATAAATATTAAAAATAAAAGAATAAATATAGATTCCACTCGCATGTAAATCGTCCATATAAATAAAAACGCTTGTCGTCACGTCACTTGAATGGCCACAGCTGTTTACTATAAATTTCTTCGTGCATCCTCCATATTTTTTCAGTGTACGGAAGGTTAATTTGCGCTAGCTGGTTTTCCGTAAGAATTATATATACCTATTATCTTTGGCGCTCTCAAAATACTTTGAAAAAAATTCTGATATTCAATATTATTTTCTCCAGCTTGTCTAATTTCGTAGCAAATTGTCAACTAAATTCCATTATATATACAGAATTTTTTCAAAGCTGCAATATTTCTAGTAACTTGACCACTGCAATACCTTAGCGCAGTTCATTACTTACAATTCTACTCTCGAGGAAGTACACTTCGTTGAGTCCTTCAACGTTCCAACACAGTAACTGTACAAATAACAATTAGAAAAATTCAATTCTCTTCAATAGGGAACGCCAATTGATTCACATTTGCATTAATATTAGACAATTAAAACTTGAGCTTCCGTGACTTCTTCGTTGGCGTTTGGATGTATGCGTTTGAATTTGTTGTATATGCTCATCCGGGAAGAGGATTAAAAAAAACATGTTGAAGTATTAACCTGAAGTTGCATGTTCATCAAGCGCAGCACATGCACTGTTTTTTAAGGTGAGATTGTGTTCAGCGAGCGTCACTTGTGTGAAATTTATCTGGGTGATTCAATAAAGGTTGTGCGCGGAATTGTAAGAGTGATAAAGTTATAAGAGAGTCATTTAAATGAAAATGTTTAGCGCTTGCTGTGAGTAGGAATGTTGTACGTGGGACAACTTTTTGCCACAGGATTACAAATGCGTACGCCAATAATGCTACAACTGCGTACGCCTTGCGTGAGCCACGTGAGGGAAGGTGCTATTGCAGGGGTTGTGTTATGGGAGCGCGTGCTTGTGAGCCGCATGAGATCGTTCGTGTTCCTGCCGTGTTCTACTCGTGGCCGTGTGAAGAAGTTCCCTCCTTAGCAGACGACCGACCTCCTGGGGTGTAAGGTAGTCGGATGGAATACCCTCACAACACGAGGTCTTGCGACTCCCAGGAGCACTCTTGTGGATTGAAGTCAGAGAGTGAGGATACTTAAAATCTATAGGAGGGACTGCGGTAGATCCTGGCCCTGCACTCCTGATGCTACTCTTGTCTAGGGGCTGGTGCATCTGACGGAGTTGTGACACGTAAGGGTGGTGATGAGGGTGGTGGTGATGAGTTTGCCTTCGGTCCATTGAAGATGTTGCCGAACCACAAACTTTTGGATAGTCTGAAAAGGTTGTTGTTTGAATATCGTCCATCGATACATACTCGTGGTCTGGAGGGCGAGCTTGATTTGTCTCCGGCATTGCCTTCAATTGTCGTATGTCTCCCATTGATAGGTATCCGCCAGGATCAATGATATCTTTAGAAGGAAGAGTTGGAGTGGTTTTCCGAAAAGCACCAGCAATTTCTTCCACAGTCATATAGTCTGGATCTGGTCCTAGATTAGCATACTGGGGTTCAGAATCGTTGCACTTCTTCGGTGGCACCTGAGGTGGAATTCCTGGGACATTCCATATAGACGAGGCAGAAGGTTGTCTGTTGGCACTTCTCAGTGGTAGATCTGTGGCAGGTGGTGTGCCTGGACGTCCAAGCAAGCAGCTGGCTTGGATGCCAGATGGCGTCGTTGCTGGGCTTACGCTGCTTCCTCTTTCTGCGTACGATCCTCGAGGAATCATAATTCCAGAAGACCCTTTACTAACCGATGCTTTCCTGCCTTCAATCTTTCGACTGCAGTTCTCATTAGGCTTATTCGCCTCGTCTTCTGGCTTCGTCGCTTCTGCATCGACGGCAAAACTATCCAAAGAGAAACTGTTGGGTACTTTGTTGGAGGAGTCAGCCGAATCCGGCTGAGAAGTGACAGAAATTGTGGACTTTCTCTTCTGCTCCAAAGACCCGTACTTTTCTTTAGGATACTTGCGGAGAAAGCTAAAGGTTTTACTCATTATCTTCGGACTTTTAATGTTATATCCTGAATTACCATCTTTAGTGCCGGACTCGTCACCTGTGTCTGGAGTTTCTAAATGCACTGAATCTGGCCTGTACATTCCTCGATAAAAACTTCCCGGCTTAGGAGTGTCAGGTGTAGAAATGTCGGCCAGAGAGCTGTCAGTACTTGGAGTTTTCTGGGACTGCATCATAATTTGTCGCTGGTACCGCAAGTTTGCCTGTGAAGACGGCGAAGAGTTTTCATCATTGTTCGAAGTCTTAAAGATGAACAGGTTTTTCGGTCTTGGAATTCGAGGAGATCTGGACGGTGAAATTCCGAAGGGATTACGTATTTTTTGTTTAGGAGACATTCTTGGCGAACTGGAGAAACTCTGATGGCGTTCATACACATCCATTGTGGCTCGCCTCCTCGGCCTAGGCAAAGTCCCTAGAGCTTGGACTGTTGCAACGTCGCAACTTTCCAGGTGGCTTGCATGCAGTCGATCGTCGCCAAGCTGTGGGGCCTCCATTTCAAGCATGCTATCTTGAGAGTGAGACTTGCTGTGGAAGGATAACCCAAAAATTTTTCTTAGTGTTCCTGTTTTGCTTAAAGAACCTTCGACCCAAGGATCTGGCGAAAATGACTTTGGCCTTCTGGGCGGAAGTGGAGGAGGAGGTGGTTGAGTTTTTTCTTGGAAGCTGTAGCTTCTCTTAATGTCCCTTCTCAATTTTTCCAAATCTTCATATTCATGTTCCTTCTCATTTCTTTTCTCATTCAGAGGCTTAAGAACATCTTTTATTTCCTCGTACACTGTTGTGTGCTTCGTTGTCAATATTGGATTCTCCATAGCTTTTCGATATTCTTCTTTAACTCCACCTCTTTCTGGGATTTCCTTGTACGATTCAGACAAAGTTCTTGATAGACTCTTCGTTAAAAATTTATCTCTGTTGCTTGGGATTGTAGCAGCATTGAGGTTTTTCAAGAAGAATGACTTCCTGGCTTTTGCGCTCTGAAGGCACCATGCTCCAACTCGAGCATTGACGTCCGGTTCTTCTTCTTGGGTTCCTATACTGCGATTGGAACTTTCTCCCGACTTGGAATCATTGTAAGATCCGTCGACTTTACGGGTATCATCCAATTCAGGAGCAGCAGGAACTGGGATGCCGGCTCTTAGATGAGTGTGGTCCTTGTGTGCGTCATCTTTGATACAGGCTCGTACTCCCGAATCAATAGAATCTGACTTCGTAACAAGTCTCCTCATCGTCGCCTGGTCATAATTGGACGGAGATGCGGAAAGTCGTACTCCAGAATCTGTGGATCTGTAAGAGTTATAAGATCCTGATGAAGAAGTCCGGTCTTTCGGCTGATCTGCGGGTCTGATATCGTCCAAATCTTCATCCCTCGCATCCAGTTCTTCGTCTGTTTCATCCAAACATATTCTAGCCAGGTTCGTCTCGCTCATAGATTTTCTACGGCAGTGACTAAGCATTTTATGTTGAGGGGAAGTTCCTAGGGACTTACAAGTTGGCACTCCTAGTAGATCCGAACCAATTTTGTGCGACGATACCTCAGATAAGTCGAGTACAGAAGTAGACTTCCTAACTTTTGCCATGGTACCTAGTTCCGGTAGTCTTTGTGGTTGCACAACCACCGATCCAATGGCACCGGACAACTCGGATAAGTCGCTGATAACGGATGTGTCATCGCCGCCGTTGCCTTTTGCCAGTAGTCCGGATACTGCGTCGTGTAGCCCGTCTAACAGCGGGCCCAGCTCGTTAGAGAAGAAGTAGAGGTACGTTTCACCGCATGGATGCGCTCTGCAGTCATAAATAAATTAATTAGGATTTAAGTAATGCATATGATGACGAATGGATATCGAGAAATATTATTGTGATCGTAATTCTTCAGACGTACTCATCAAATCTTTTCCCTTGTCATCACAAACGGCTCTGTCGTTCATCCACACTCATGCTAGTTTCCTCACTTCTTTCTTTCATGTACCATGAACGCTGTCGGATGTTAGCTTAAGTCTTATTATCTCACATTCCTTTTGATTTTATTTACTCTTTCTGCCAATTCCTTCCACTGGCACACCTTTCTAGTCAAGCTCTCGTGTTTATCTCACAGTCTCTCCATCTCACTCTCTTCCATGCCTCCTGTATCTACAGTCTCTCCATTTAACTCTCTTCCATGCCTCCTGTATCTATAGTCTCTCCATTTAACTCTCTTCCATGCCTCCTGTATCTATAGTCTCTCCTCTCCATCTCACTCTCTTCCATCCTTCCTGTATCTACAGTCTCCATCGCACCCTCTTCCACCATTCCTGTATCTATGCAGTCTCTTCATCTCACTCTCTACTACAGTCTCTCCATCTCACTCTCTTCCATCCTTCTTGTATCTACAGTCTCTCCATTTCACTCTCTTCCATCCTTCTTGTATCTATAGTCTCTCCATCGCAATCTCTTCCATCCTTCTTGTATCTACAGTCTCTCCATCTCACTCTTTTCCATCCTTCTTGTATCTACAGTCTCTCCATTTCACTCTCTTCCATCCTTCTTGTATCTATAGTCTCTCCATCGCAATCTCTTACATCCTTCTTGTACCTACAGTCTCTCCATCTCACTCTCTTCCATCCTTCTTGTATCTACAGTCTCTCCATTTCACTCTCTTCCATCCTTCTTGTATCTATAGTCTCTCCATCGCAATCTCTTACATCCTTCTTGTACCTACAGTCTCTCCATCTCACTCTCTTCCATCCTTCTTGTATCTACAGTCTCTCCATTTCACTCTCTTCCATCTTTCCTGTATCTACAGTCTCTCAATTTCACTCTCATCAATCATTACCTAATTTTTCATCATTTATCACATCAGACAAGATGGCCGCTGTCCAGCTCGCTACTCACGGTCTCGTCTGAATGATAAAAATCTTGCCCTCGTCCTCCAGTTCCCCGCCGGCCGAGACGTACACTCGCTGGATGGACGTCAGCGGCCACTCGGCGAGCGTTGCTCCTGAAGGATCCATTCTCAAATTTATTCGGTTGCAAAAAGAATCTACCTAAAATTAAAGTAGTTTATATTTTAGTTATTATATTGCGCCTCACCATGGACTTTTTGTTGTTTAGCCATAGCCCTACTTGTTGAGCATTGTTTTCATTGACCGGATTTAGCTATATGCCTAATGCACTGATCGTATTCAGCAATAGGCCTACTCCACTTACCATATCCAACACTAAGTCTACACTATTGACCGTATCCAGCAATATTCCTAATCGTTTAACCGCATCTGCTCTTCTGAAGCTATTCAGCCATAAACCTACTCTACTGAAGCTATTCAATGATAGACTTTTCAAATGATAATAATTAGCTCTAAGCCTACTCCACCGACCGTTATGGACGTCCTTGATGACGAGGTTGGCCCGTGCCACGGCCATGCGGCCGTACAGACCACCCAGGGCTGCGTACTCGCCCTCCTCCTCGCCCACCGAGATCGCGCTAACTGGCCAGTTGTGCGGGTAAACTGGCGACAAGTTTGGCCAGTTAAACAGTGAAAGTACAATAAATATGTAAAGATAAAGTGAAGTAGGTTTCGAAATCAACTGTGGATTTTATAAGTCGTTTGAGCCGGATGCGGCTGATACAAATGATCGGGTGTGAGAGTGACTAAAGTTACACTATATTTGTCCGAGGCTGTAGCTAGTCTTTGGAGGCGTCCCAGACGAAGTCACCGTTAGGGCCGCCTAAGCAACGTCGACTACCAGATAAACCGTGAGAATCTTGTGTTGACGGGGAGAGCAACAAACGTTAGTACAAGTCACCTGTGTTGACGGGGAGAGCAACAAACGTTAGTACAAGTCACCTGTGTTGACGGGGAGAGCAATAAACGTTAGTACAAGTCACCTGTGTTGACGAGGAGAGCAACAAACGTTAGTACAAGTCACCTGTGATGACGGGGAGAGCAACAAACGTTGCCACAAGTCACTTGTGTTGACGGGGAGAGCAACGAACGTTGACACAAGTGACCTGTGTTGACGGGGAGAGCAACAAACGTTGGTACAAGTCACCTGTGCTGACGGGGAGAGCAACAGTCGTTGGCACAAGTCACCTGTGTTCATGGGGAGAGCAACAAACGTTGGCACAAGTCACCTGTGTTGACGGGGAAAGCAACAAACGTTAGTACAAGTCACCTGTGTTGACGGGGAGAGCAACAAACGTTAGTACAAGTCACCTGTGTTGACGGGGAGAGCAACAAACGTTAGTACAAGTCACCTGTGCTGACGGGGAGAGCAACAGTCGTTGGCACAAGTCACCTGTGTTCATGGGGAGAGCAACAAACGTTGGCACAAGTCACCTGTGTTCATGGGGAGAGCAACAAACGTTGGCACAAGTCCCCTGCGTTGACCTGGAGAGAAACAAACGTTGGCACAAGTCACCTGTGCTGACGGGTAGAGCAACAAACGTTGGTACAAGTCACCTGTGTTGACGGGGAGAGCAACAAACGTTGGTACAAGTCACCTGTGTTGACGGGGAGAGCAACAAACGTTGGTACAAGTCACCTGTGTTGACGAGGAGAACAACAAACGTTGGTACAAGTCACCTGCATTTATGTGGGGGAGCTGTAGGGGCAGCCATAGCAGGTCCCTCATGGCTGACATCCAACGCTGGCTCTCCGTCTCACTCCCCCCGCTGAGGTACAGCAGCGCCTGCCCTCGTCTCCCACACACCTCGAACGCGTATGGGTGGGACCTGTGGGGGCCAGGTAGCATGGGTGCTCAAATTTTTTGCCTATTCAATTGTATTCACTCACAGACAATTTTCATGGATACTCTGTAGAAGAAAATGTAAAAATTGATTCTAAAATATCGTGCACTACTATGAAATTGGTCCTTCTTTAGGTATTAATTATTGATTATGAATTTGCGCTGGTGATGTCTGTGGAGCAAAGTAACATTATTATAGGAATCGTATTGCAATCCGACTATGTTAACGTTGTACTATATAGCGTTTATATCTACAGGCACTTTTAGTGTGTGGGAGTCGAAACGCTTGAAAAACGCGGCAATTTATCCAGGGAAATTATAAATTCAGAAGTAATGTACCATAAATTCTTTGTGGACATAGTCCGCAATTCATTGTTGGACGAATAGTTAGAATTTCGAGGCACGATACAAATATGTTACTGGTTTCAAATATATTGTTCGTCACTCATCCACAATATCGTATAACATTTATAGGATCAATCTCTCAAAACATTCTAAGTGAATTCAGTAAAAATAAATAGTTCAAATTTATGAATATTTTCGTTACAAAATCTTTCGAATACAAACTATTGTACCAGGTTGTTTTGTGTTTACAATTTTTATTCGTGGGTTTTGGTTACTATTATAAAATTATATCAGTAAATTGATAAAGAAATGAACAACAGAACAATAAAGATATTAATCATACGTGTAAACTTGGTGCTATAAATTCTTTAATACAATTTATTACTTTCTGAACTTCATTTAGCATTTTTAAACTAAATTAGTATGAGATTTATCAAAGCCGGAATATAATCCCATTCCTAAGCGTGATATCATATTTTAAATTAGAATAGAAATGAACGAATTCAACTGTTTTTCACATCATATATCAGAGCAACCCAATCTTTATACGAAATCAAATAAAAAACTGCCAACAACCCTCACTTAGACTTAGCCCTCCGTATTTTGTGTACGAGGTCGATATGAAGTATGGTGCCCTCGGTCGGCTGGTTGCTTCCCTCATGCCGCGTGTAGATCTCGACGCTCAGGCTTATCTCGCCTGAGGGGAAATTTGTTATTATTTTATTATTAGCTATTTAAAGTTATTTTTAAAAACAGGAAGTTATTACAAAAAACATCCAATTCTTGCCGTGTTTTGACTTAATTTTAAGTTTTTGGGAAAGCTTAAAATTAAGTTAAATTAAGTGATTCTAAATATTTTTTTATCGTAACACGTTATTGCTTAAAGTTTGTAACATAATTTATATAATTTTACGTTTTTGTAAGCCAATTATTTTTTCATCGTATTTTGATCGAATTGACTTTGTAATAGCCTCATAATTCTTTTGCATTCAACGATAAACTGTAATAACTTTTGATAATTAATCTTGTTCAGTAATAAATTGACGGCCGATCAAGCGATGAAGTCAGGACGATTCTTTAATAGATACAAGAGGATTCTTCAGGCATGGATTTAGTTTTGAAGATTTGGTCTTAATTTAAAATTACTTTTTAATAATATTTTGATGGATTATAGAAAAAATTATCCACTCACCGGAAGCAGATTGTGATGAATTGCCGTTAATGGGAGTAGACGAAGGGTGAGTGGGAGTGGATGGGGCTGTGGGAGTCACCATGCCTCCCCCAGAGGTGGAGTCAGCGGGGGAACGGTCACCCCTTACCACCACCCAACACCTCCTCTTCCACACCTGCACCTGTGGGACGGGGGAGTGAGACGGGGTCTCTTGCTACCAGCGAACCATAGACTATTTTATCCATTAAAATATATAAGGGAAACTATATATAATGTCCCCTCACTTACCCTGAGGGAAACTATATATTATGTCCCTCACTTACCCTGAAAAGGGAAACTATATATTATGTCCCCCAACTTACCCTGAAGGAAACTATATATTATGTCTCCTAACTTACCCTGAGGGAAACTATATTATGTCCCCTAACTTACCCTGAAAAGGGAAACCATATTTTATGTCCCTCACTTACCCTGAAAAGGGAAATGCTCTTGCGCTTCCTCGCAGGGATCTTCACGTCGAGGTATCCTTTAACGGAGCCCTTGCCTGGCCCCGAGGATGGCGTGCTACAGCTCATCGCTATCCTGTTATCCTTTTCATCAATAACTCCAATTATGTATGTTCACTCCGTAATTTCTAATAAAAAGTTCATTTTTTCTGTTCAGTGGGATGATTTTTTTCCATTTCTTTTCAAAGAGAATAATTTTTTCACAATGTTTTCACTTATATTTATTATTAATCTTTCATTGGTTTATTGGTGTAAGTCCTCATTAATTTGATTAATACTGATTTCGATTAATACTCATCACCGTCCAAATTTTCACTCTCAATAAAATTTCAATTTGTCTTTCGATTTTACTGATATATTTTTTCAGTCTCTACACCGCATCGCTTGAACATATGCTTTATCTTATCAGCTGCTATACTTTTTATTGATTTATTTTCTGCCTCAGGATTGCATTGAATATTTATGCATGAACTACTGTTATATTGTATATTATTGTTATTTTGTATATTGTTATATTGTATTCTCAGGCCTATTTCGTTGCCACATTTCGTGAGGCCGGCTTCGTAACTTGGCACGATTTCTCATGCCTTCATCCATCACACGAACTGGAATTAGTGAGCTCGTAATTCATGAAGACTTTTGCTCGTAAAACTAGTAGCTCGCTGATCAAAATTCGTATTTGTTAGCACGGCAATTTCAATCAACTGTGAAAAAATACTGAAAAAGTCTCTGAAATGATGCTTGTTTTAAAATAAATGAGAGTCCCTTTTGTATCCCTCCACTCTATCATGATTATAATATGAACATTTTTTGTGACGAATGATGAAAGACTAATAATAAAAGTCGGTGGGAAGAGGGGAAAGATGGATGATGGTGGGGAGGGAGGAGGGGAGGAGCAGCCAAACAAGCACAGTTTCCCTTTAAGTCGACCCTGCCTCTGCTGTTCTCTGCTGTTATCTCTGCTGTTCTCGGGTGTTATCTTTGCTGGTATCTCTGCTGTTCTCGGATGTTATCTCTGCTGTTCTCGGGTGTTATCTCTGCTGTTCTCGGGTGTTATCTCTGCTGTTCTCGGATGTTATCTCTAATGTTCTCTGAATTTTTCTGCCATTGTTATTATATAGACGCAGTCTTTCTACTGTACTCGTATTGGCTTACGCCGCTAATGTCGCTATCTGTTGTTCCCTGTTCTAGTACATTACATAATTGTGTAATATATACACGGTATGGGCGTGGTGACACCATCACTCATTGTACACTACACTTTGTTAACGTAAGGACAGGCACACAAGAATGGATACACAAGGACTGTTACACAAGGCCATGTGTTTACACAGCTCCTGTGTCGGTGCTGTTCTGGTGATGGCAACAAGCGACAGCATAATTATATCGAAATAAGAAAATTTGTTGTGTAATTCTTACTGAAAAATGAAACACGATAAATGATTTTATTGAAGATAATTCGTTACATAACCATGTCTAAATTTAACTGAAAATAGGGATTTCATAAATAAAAATCATATACGGTAGCGAGTAAAATCCGTTTAAACTTTAATGACGCTAATTAGAGGTAAGAGTGAAGCACATGACCTGGCTTAAATAGGGATTACTCAGTTTTGCGGATACGATAAACTGATATAGGACTGCGGGGAGTTTTCGTAAAAATATATCTAATAATATGACTTAGTATAGGTTGGCAAAAGTTGTTCCTTTGAGCAGGTTTCATTGAAGACCAGAGAATTCGTTTTGAGACCTGGTCTGCAATGAATTCTCTGGTCTTCAATGAAACCTGCTTAATATGACTTCATAACTAAATAAAGTAAATTGCAAACAGGTTTACCCTGCGTTTTCCGGACACGACAATCAGAGTAATTATCGAATCTCGTCATTCCAAGCCATAATATAATAAAGGTTTATTATGTTTTATAAATTAAAACAAAATGAAACCGCTATTTACACAGAACACACAACTGTCAAAAACGCATTGGAGCATTTTATAATGAATTTACATGTAAGAATTACGCAATCAAATTATATTTTTGCTTGTTCTTACTAGCAATTCCTCCCAATTTTTCTATGCCGTAATATCCTGCCGCTAAAAATTAATTTTTCAGTTCCACTCAAATAAATAAAATAATAAAAAAATACTTATAAATAAATAAATAAAAATAAACTATAAATATCCTGGATCTGCGCCGAACTGCCCTTGAGTGGCTAGGTTAGGCGAGCTTGGGATTGATAACTGCTGCAATTTTCGAATACCGAATCTTGTTGACCGAAATAAACTAACGTACGAAGATTAGAGAAAAACCTGCTCAAACTCATGTTTCTAATTTCACATTGAACATAAAACTCCCGTTTGCCTCGTGTTCATTTATGTGAAAAATAATTTTTCGTCTTCTGAGTTAAATTTATTATTTTTATTTGATCATTCACTCCCACTTTTGCGATGCCACTATTCTCTTACTAAGAATACATTTTCAAGTTCAGGTAATATCCCTACTTGATTTGTATCCCGGATATATGCACCTCAATATATATGTCATGCCTAAATCGCAGAGTTACCGATCCTACGAAATCGGTAGCCAGTTTGCCGAGTCCTTAGAATCAGCATTTTGTCGAATCATTTTGCAGAATCTGATTCCTATAGTAAAGAAACGCGGATTCGACAGATTCAGTAAACTGGCTGCCGATTTCATACAATCTGCAATACCGCAATTTCGTTACGACACATACTGTATATTACGGCCTCACGCTTCAAACACACAAAGAAACAAATGAACAAATTTTGACCAGCAATTATGAGATTAAGTTAACTCTAGCCTTAATTTCATACTATATATTTCAAACGGTTGTAGGCTTAGACCCAATAAAACATCGAATTCAGTACGCTCTTCCACGCATTCATTGGTAAGATGCATGGTATTCTGTTTATTATCATTTAATTTTTCCTACAGATCCCTCCTTCTACCCTCGAAGAGAGGGAAAAGCAACATCTCAGAGTGAGAAAATGACCGCACAGAAGCACATCAAAATATCAAAACAAGATACATTTCCCCATCGGTAACCTGACACGGGCTTAGGAAACATGTCGGAAGAATAAAACTTATAGATGAGGTACATTATCAACAATGATGGACTAATTAGTTGGTTTGTAATATTTATTACAGGTGCGTGTAAAAGCTCTGAATTTAAGTAATCATCAAAGGAATATGTAGGACTTCAAAATTTTCTCAAATAAATCCATTTCGCCGAGTGTACGGCATCGATCAATAAGCGCCTTCAAAGAACATTTGAGAACCGCATGTTAACCAACAACTAACTGCGGTTAATCAACCTCGCGATACTCGGCAGGTTAATTGAGGCAGGTTAAATGCAAAAATATTAGGACTTGAATGGTATAAAATAAACCCTAAGACGCTGGTTTAGTACGACGGTATTTATTACAGCAGCTCCTATTCCTTGCTATTCAGTGACTAGAACACTAGCAAACACATTCGGAAAAGGTGAAATTTACTAACGTGGTATCTGAATTCTCTAACACTGTATCTTGATTCTCTAACAGTGTATCTTGATTCTCTAACAGTGTATCTTGATTCTCTAACAGTGCATCTTGATTCTCTAACAGTGTATCTTGATTTTCTAACAGTAGGCAACATGGGGCAGCGCCCCCCCCCTCCATTTTTAAACAAAATTTTTGATGAAGTTTTAATTGATTTGAGGTGGTTCTTTGTTTTGTTTAAAGGTACAACTAATAAGGAATGTATGATGTGAATTAGACGCCTATAGAGTTATTCAATTTTTAATGGAACACTATTTTGTAAAAAGTGTAAAAATGGGCCCATTGCCCCACCCCGGGGGCAATGGGCCCCTGGGTTTGGGGCAAGGCGCCCACCCTTGGTCCCTTTACCACAATTGCATATTTTTCGTTTGAAAATGATAAAACAACACTTTATAGTTAAAAATAAGAAAAAGGTAATAAAAATATGACATTCATTCATTTATTAACAACTCAAAAAATCATATCTTTACCTTGAAAAAAATATACTCTTGGTTTAAAAAATCTATCACTGACGTGAAGAAAAATGTTTCATTGACATAAAAATACATATCATTGACTTTAAAAATATATCCTTGCGATAGAAAATTCGTCCTTGACATGAAAAAATGTATCCCTGAATAGAAAAAATATATTTAGTTGATCAGAAAAAACTTCGTTCAGAGTTTCGTCCATAATCCAGATATTATTCGCAGAGAATTCGTACCTAATCGTGATTTCAGCCAACACCATAAAAACTCATCAACTTTTAGCTCATTGGTGTTGACTGAAATCAACTTTTGGCAAGGCAAGAGTCAATAACTCGATAAGGGGTCATAAATACGCATAACTAGAAACTAAACCTGCTGCCTTGAGGCGGCAAATCAAAAAATCATGCAATATGATGTGTAATTTGTAATTCAAAAAGCTAGTCATAGTTTTGAAAAGGTCATTGAGACAAATCTAATGATGTATAACACACGACTTCACCATGGGCGCTTTGCCCCGTGACACGCGTGGACCCGTTGCCCCACTAGGTATCATTTCAATGTATATCGTGTCAACATTTTATTTTAAAAGCTAATAGTGTAAACTTGATCTCAAAATTATCCTATAACTATTACTTTCAAAATATAATTCACAGTAATTTCAAAAGCTTCATCTACAGTAATCGAAAACAGTTTTATTTAGCAGCAAAAAATTTTTATCTGGGCTAAAACAGTTATTCACAAATAACTTAATAACGCAAACATTTAGCAAAACGTAAATCCGTACTCTTCATCCCAGTGAAACTGTCGACCGGCGGTAGAGAACACGGACCAATATCTGCCATACTTAGCGAGAAACCCGCTATGAGCCCATGACCCGCAGTGGGCTCGCTGCCCCATGTTACTCTATATCATGATTCTTTAAAAGTGTATATTGATACACATTAAAGGCCGAGACAGTGTAAGTTGTCCGTGCAGCTTTTGGGATGTTAATATATATAATATAACATAAATAGATGTCTGCGACCGCACCCGTCACCATTAATCTGTCAGTATTCTAATGCAATTAACTTATTTGATGACGTGATTAAATGCAGTGAAGACAAACGTAACGATTATA